ATCCTAAGATTGTGAGAACAGCGACATATGTACTTCAACTCCGCCCACTTCGTCCACCAGAATAAATCCTCTTATTTTCTCAATTTTATACTTCTTTCATGGAATTTCCCCCGTCGTCATAAAAAACCTGTCAAAAATGCGCCATCCCCAGCGTCCATGACCCTCAGCTTCCACAGATACGACTCTTTCGTTCCCAAAATCGCAAACCCCTCCACCTTGGTACTTGTGTACCGAGGGACGGTTACCCTGCTCTGCGGTGAAGCTAGGAACAGGATAAAAGCTTGCAGAAGAAGAATGGTCCAAAGAAAAGAGCAAAAATTTGGAAAAATCCCATTTCTAAAAATCCGCGTGTTTGCCGGTCCTTTTTTGTAAATATTGAACCGCTGTGATCTGCAGAATTTTGAGGCACTTTCAAAACAACATAAAATAGACGTACTATGAAGATTGCTGGAAGCCAATGCTTGGAGCGAAGCAGATTTTTTGTTATCCTCCATGATGCATATAGAATTTGACTGAAAATTCATCTAGAATATACCGTATCCGGAATAAATAACCTATTAACCTAACATCCCAAAAAAAACTGGTTTGACAGTAACAGTAAACTTGGACACTAACCCGCAAACCTCCGCACAGTTCTACGATGAATTCAAGTCTTACTCAACTGAGGGATTACTACAATTTATTTCCAGGAAATTCCGAGAAATATTTTAATAGTAAATAATATCACCCACTTGCTGGACTTCAAGGAACTACCCAAGCTGATCGTGCCCACGTTATGGCTCATTTGTCATCCTTGACTCGACTGGGCGAGTTTGGTAAGGGTAACGCGCGAATTTGCCGCTTGGCGACAGAAAATTGGTGGTAGAGCCGCTTCTGCTGAATCCTCATGATATTTGGCTCATCTATTACCTCCATGAACCTGAATTTGCTCAGCACCGTGCTTCACACTTGTGCATATCTAACCCCATATGTGAGCGCTCAGAAGGCCTTCTCAGGACACATCACGCCACATGGCTTCATACCCAGCTGATGGAAGTATATAGACATGTAGCTTCATATTTAGAAGAAAACAATTTCAATTGAAAGCAGACCTAATCCCGTGCGTGGAATGAGAAGCGATATCGATTCAAAAAGCGTAGGGTAAATCAACGGAGAAATAATTAGAGGCTGGTGATAAATTACCCTTCACTGTGGTGAGTTCATCTAAATCATTTCATATGAGGTTTTCAATGTACGCTATAGATTTCGTAGTTCAAACAAGCTAATAAATTTGAGGTTCAATCAGCACCGCCTACTACAACCTACGGACAAAACAAAAACCGCAAAGGCATGACCGAGCGGCTTCAAACTCGCGTGGGCTCTTTCCGCCGATTATTAAAGTATTGGTGCGAAATGGGTCCGGGACACAAGAATAAGGGAAGGTCGATTCGTAGAAATCTGGCTTAGGTTGTGAGCTTTTCGAAGTCGCCAAGATAATGTGTACTAGGCAAGGAGAGACCTGGGCGACGGACATGGGGAGAGGCATAGGTTTGAGAGCGCAACAGATGAGAGGGCGCCAGACAACAGTCTGATAAGAGAAAAAAATTGCAGCTGCTGCAGCTCACTATGCAAGGTTCTAGCGCTCTTGGTGACTTCCATTCACGGGACAGCCACATCTGTAATTGTCCTCTAGAGGTCTGTCCTACAGGCCAAGAGGAATCACGGCCTCTGCCAGGGTTGTGCCTTCAAGCCGGAATGGTCCAAGTCTCCCTTGGGGGAATGGACTGAAATCTTGTTATATTTGAACTTTTATAGGTTCAAGCGTGATTTTTTCCTTAAGTGTTTCGGTAGAACAATCGATTATTTGAGTAGGGTACACCTTGTTACAAAGTTCCCCAGATTGTGCTGATTCAACAGTGGTGCAGAAAGCCTTTTGTTGCTTGGGTGGACCGGCATCTTATGCGCAATCCTCGCCTTCCACGGTGACCAAAGTTAAAGCACTACATTGGACGTTGGAAAAAAATTAGGTTAAGTACGACCTCCCTCCTAGGAGCGTCTCCCTACGATCCCTCCGTCTCACTTAATCCCCTCTGAGTGGTCTTCCTACCCTACGGCCATTACAACCTTCAGTAGCAAGGAAACGTTCATATTGGGAGGGGAGTTTACTACACTCGCGAAATGACGGAAAACTGCGAGGAATTGTGCTATGCTGTTGAACTATCTTCTCCTATTCCAAGAACTTTTTGATGTCTCCCGGAAAACAATGCCATCCCCTCGTTCAACATAGAAACCCGTTCCAGAAGAAATCACATAAGCGATCCCTATGCGTCAACTCGGTTCTTATAGTGAATTGTCCTGCATTAGCGTCTACCGGGCTTAAGGCTGGCATCAGGCGTGAAGCTTGCTCCGCGTAGAGTGAAAGCGAAGCTCCTCCATATGATTGAATACTTGTTAAGAAGGGATCTATGCGCGAGTTTGCGTGACTCTCTCTCTTTCTGCACTGAATGAATGGCGAAATCAAACACGTTTTGCGCCAGGACTCGAACGGCGATCTACGGACTTCTTCACGGTCATTGGGAAAGCGCAGCCGTGGACTAAAGCAGTTTAATATAACTACTGTACGTTCTGTTAAAAACACTTCCTTTTTCATCATGGAGCCAGCTACAATAGGCCATTGTGAATGTGCTGTCATAGGAGGCGCGTTCATCCATCAATAATAGAAAGGATAGAGATTAAGAATGGATGAGAAGTAAGCGAACACGACTTTTATAAGGGGCCACTAACGCGGTCGCTGGTAATTCGACAGGAATGCTAATATAATAAAGTCCTCAGATGAGAATGCCAGCGATAGCTCCGATCATAGGGTTAGAGCTTCGAGTGTAATAAATCAACAGATCAGAAAAGCGGAGGTCACGTCAGGAAAATCACCTAGACGAACTACCAGTCACAACTATCCGCACGCAACCGCGTTGCAATCAAATGTCCCGCCCTTTCAATGTTTTGTTGATAGGTCAAGTTTACTGGCTATTTGCAGCACCCTTATTAGTTATAGTAAGATTTTTAGAATTCATTCAAAACTTCGTGAAGAAGCGTATGTTAGAAAAAAGGTAAATTCTTAAAGAACCCAGTGTGAATAGTGGACTCTTCAAAATTTTTCATGTTTTCTGAAAAACTCACTTCTTTTGGCAGCAACTGGGTAGATCGATTACGATCGGCCAGTTTCATTCGTAATGATCCGCCACCACTTGCACGAATTGGATACGAATTTGTGTGATTCATCTTGAGTTTGCCAGCGATTTTCTGCAATTTTATTGTCAGCATAAGCAATATACAGAAAAAATCTATGTAACTGATGGGACCTATGAAACCACAACAAACTCAAAGAAACGCCGACAGAGAAACCTTCCAAAATCAAAAATAATTATATCGGTAGTTCAGATGGGATCATCATGGTTATCACATTTTTCAAGGTAGCCAATAGGCTATGACCCATCCTGCCGTATTTAGATTGTTGGAACTAAAACCCTGGATATAGGCCTTTTGCACAAGCCAAAAGATGAACCTGAAAGGATAAGATAACCTCATAAAAACTTGCGTAGATGCCAGAGGAGGCGATAAGTGTCAGCACTGCTGCTAAAGTCCGACTTAAATTACGACGTTGAGCCTCCCTCTGCCAGCTCCGCCTCCCTTGACAATCCCCACCCCCCTCTGCATTTCTTTCGTCCATTTCTTTTTTTCGCCGACTAGCTATCAAAACTTCTAAACTGTTCACGCACACTCTTCGTTAGGCCTGTAGGCAAAGTCAGAAAGCAACTTGGAAGGAAAGGCCTTGATAGTTTTCTTTTCTTTCGAGGGCATTCTTGATAGTTTCTTGTACTTTCTTCCTCACAGTCGCATCACATGACAACTAATTCTTTCACACTTGAGCCTAAGCCCTCTACCTAAATCGTTCTAGCGAGCTATTTACCACTAAGGTGAGTGGATCTCTAGCACAACTCTTGGCGCTGCTGGTTTTTCTTTTTTTACGGTCGTCTTCCTGAAACATTGAAACATTCTTATCGATAACATTCTCGTATGAGGTGTCATCGCAAAATAAGCTTATCGTAAGATCGATACCTGTTTGAAGCCGGATTTCGGTTTTGCTGTGGTGACCGGAGCCGATTTTTGCACGGCAGCTTCACGATCCGACCCCGTGTCGAGCCCGTCTTCAATCGAATCCCGAAGCCTTCCCTTGATGAAGTACGTTTTCATGCCTTAACCAAATAGTAATGATTCATTAGCATCCGTTGATCCCATCAAGAAGTCAAGCTCAAGCACTCACTTGCTGGCTTTACACGCCTCTCTGTGCCCTGGACTTGCATCCTTAACGGACCTGGAAATTTAGTGAATTCTCTGCTGATTCTTTATTTTATAAATTTACTCAGGATGTATTTCGGACTTTAAAGGTATGCTATACGAAGTTATGCATTTCGCACTTTAAAAAAGTACCCATGGGTGCGTTTTGGTACATCTCCCGTCCACGAATGAATATTAACAAATACACTTTATTTAGCCAAAAGTGGCGCTGTTCCAAAGCTTGATGGTGGGCCTCTTTGTGATCTACACGATAATATCGTAACAAGACTAATACAGTTTTTTTAACTGTTGGGAGAGATTTTCTATTTGTCACTACTTTTGTAGTTTTAATTTTTGGGTGAAAATCCAGTTTGGTGGGAGGGGGTGGGGGCACTCCTTGCTATCTTGTCCCTAGTTCTAGATTAATATTCCTACACATCCTGCTTACCTTAATCAATTTTTTCTTGCCACAGCCCTGAAGCTCCATCCACCTTTAAGCTAGGCTAAAAGTACTCCATGTCGCCTGGTCCAGGGCCGTCGTTTGGACCATGGAGGCGCATAGTTTGAAGTGAGTCGATTACCTGTCATGAGCGCCCTCATCCTTATTTTGAGCATGGAGAAACAATGGAGTGCCCCCTCCCCGAATTACTTAATTCTTGTAAGAATAGAATGGTAAAAGTTAATTACAACGGATTCAAAAGCCAATATTTGCTTAAAGGCAAGATTCAAGCTTAAACTGATGAGGTAATTCTACTCAAATGTGATGTAGGGGCGGGAGGTGACCGCCAGTGGAGAAAAAAGGAAGGAAAATCCTGAAATACACAGGAAATACGAGCCTTTTGCTCTACGTTGCGGAGAAGTTCAAAAGGCCGGCAGGGAGATGAGAGATAATGTGAGCGCGGAGAGCGGTAGAGAAATCCGAGAAGAGAGAGCATAGCAGATCAGCATTGCGACGCAGACAAAATATCGAGCGGTGGGCGGAGCGTGTCGCAACAGGTGGAGCGTGTCAAAGTCCTTGGCCCCTAGCGCCTTAGTGACGCATTTGGATGCGGGAACTTGGCGAGTCGCCTGCAGCTGCGTCCCATGCACTTCTAGCCACTTTAAGGGCTTATTAGGTGGGTCTGAGCCCGATTTTTGCCTTTAAAGAGCCCTTTGTCTCACTTGGTATGACCATCTATTCTAAACATGCTCGCTTTCATCAACATGCCCCTTTTTCCCATGAGAGAAATTCTGCAAAGTTTTTAAGCCAGGACCACCACGATGCCTTTGAGATGCCGACAAAACACCAATTCATTTATTTTCCGCCCATTCTGTCGTACGCCGTAGCCTCAAGTGTGAAAAAGCGCCCAAGATCACGTCTGCGCAGATGGTTTGCGTAATCATAAAAATCTAATTCTCAAATAAATATTAAATACTACTAATGTTGAATATTAATATTTAACTATTAGTTATTAAATTATTTAAGTTATTAAATATGAAATATCAAACTCGGAAATAAACGAATAAATTGAGAAATAGATGAATTAACAACCAGCAGCTGATAAGGCTTGTCATAAGGCGCTCTCAAGAAGAACGATTAAGCACTTACCGTCATAGTCTGGTCCATCTTCCAGAATGTAGTCCTCTCTGAGATATTTAGCGGTGGCTTCCGACACGTGAACCCTGACAACAGAAAGTTATCCTTTCAGCCACGATTATATCGCTAGTTTTATTTATTTATTTATTTATCATGCACTCTAGGTGCGCCATCGGCAAACAAAAAAAAGCAGTGTTAACAACACAACATAAACAAGTAAAACCCTATATGTAAGTAGCTTTACACCATAAGTAGTTCAGCTCAGGCCACCCCCCCCCCCCCCCCCCCCCCCCCCCCCCCCCCCCCCCCCCCCCCCCCCCCCCCCCCCCCCCCCCCCCCCCCCCCCCCCCACCCACCACCATCCAGCAATTCCCCGTCGACTCCATTTCGTTGGCCAATGTCACATCATTTGAAAAGACGTCGAACTTGAAACGTTTAGTGCCCACCATGCCGCACATAACCTGAAAAGTCCCAGTTATCTCACACTGCATAACAATGGCCAAAAAAGAGAATAGCTCATGATAGACATCAGCGAAGTTTGTCAACGAAATGTCTGAATCTCCGCCCACCCCCCTCGAGGTAAACCAGCCCTTTTGGCGTTTCTGCTGGGGCTAAATGCTGAATGTTTGGCAGGAGATGGGTTCTCCGAACTCGACGTAGGATTAGTGATGACGCAAGTGGTGCAGCTAGGTCCAGCAGCTCCGCCAAAAGGGCTGGTTTGCTTACCCAGGACTAAGCCTTGGAGAGGACGCTCTCTCGCAGGTCCGTCCTCTCTTTAAGGCTTAGTCCTGAGGTAAGCATCAAATTGAGGCGGTTTTAAGGACCGAGTTGAAGTAGTCCGTCGACCGTCGGGACCCATCCCCTCCCCAACATTCAGCATAAGGCCCAGCAGAAGCGCCAAACGTGCTGGTTTGCTTACTCCCCCTCCTCCCCCTTCCCCCAGAGGCCGATGTCAGACTTTGCGATCCAGCGATTCGCTAACGTCCGCGGTCGCGTTGCAATATCGGCCAGTAAAGCGATTCGTTGGCCGCGACGCGACCGAGTACGATAGCGAATCGCTCGATTCGCAAACTCTGACATAGGCCATAAACAGAAGCAAGCGCTTCGATTGGTCACGCCTCCATCGCCACGATAATTTGGAGACATTCGCCACTGCCGTTCGCAGCTCGAGGAGTGCCTACCGTAGCTTGCTCCAGCGAAGCTGCTACAATTTTCTTTCAAGTCAAGGTCATCGATGAAGGGATCATTCAGTTTCAGATGGGGATTAGGAAGATTCATTTTTTGCCACCTTCTGCACAAGGCCGAAGCCAAGATCCAGTCTGAAGACACTTGTTATGTGTGGATTCCCAAGACAGGATTACACTACCTAAAAGTGGGGGTAGGAGATACGAAAAAGTTAAGGACCCCTAGAAGCCTTCAAAAGCACATTTGACTCTGATCTACTCTAAAGAGACAACCGGGTGTGCTATACTATTAAGGTAATAGTAAAAGAAAGGAATCAATCATGGAAGGGGGGGGGCGCTGGTGACTGGTTGTCGTTCTCTCACGTGAACCAAGGCGGTTGTTGTGCGCGGGGAAAATGAGCATAGAGCCACAACAAATGACCCCACTTATGGAAAAGTTAGACAGGGACAAATTTATTGATCTTTTTGAAAACCAAAACAATCTCATCGAATCACCTTTCCTGTATGGATTCCAACCCTCATGTTCACCGACTGGCCTCGATCAATGTCGAATTGACGAATAGCGACAATCATATTCAGTCCCATTTCTACCGTACGAATGGCGTGATCGGCGCACGGTTCTGGGCAACCGGCAACGCAATAGTAGCAATCACCTAAAAATTTCATCTGTATTGATCCTAACTATCCTAACTTGGGCTAAAATAGCGCATATCCACTTGAGTTCGAGTCAGTTAGGAGTGAATTTGTTGTCCCTATTGCGCTATTTAGTTAGGGCAAAATGTACTAATATGATCAGAGTGCTGGGAATCACTTATTTGTTGATTTATTTATTGCATTTGATGCACGCATCTGAAAGGCGGAGTCTTTCTGATGACGTCTTAAACGCCATTGGTGGAAGGGCGTCGGGAGATCGTCATTGGTGAACCATACCCACCGCCCGCTGAGTGGATTGGGGTGTTAACTATAATTCTAGAGGGTCGTGCAACGCGTGTCGCGTGCGGTGCCCTTGGCCGGTTGCCAACCGGCCACAATCCGGTGAATTCTGTGCGCAGGGTTGTTAATGAAGCCTTACTGCATGTTTTCATCAGCTGCGTCTAAGTTTTATGTCTGCGACTTGTCACAAAACTCCTCATCGGTTCCCCGTACAACGTTTTGGCTGTTGGTACCAGACTAGACTGTGTTGCTCAGGAATATTTTTCGATTTCCTGAGCACACCAGTCTTCATTTGGCGCCTTCAGCGTTTCGACTCGAGCCATGTGGATTCCTCGTTACTTTAACATTCTACGGTTCATCTGGTTATCTTTCAAAGGCAAAAATACTAGCCTGCAGAGCGCTTGAGTACAGTATCAAACATGAGTACAAAAACACCCGAACAGAAACAGTAGTTGTAGGGTATACTTACAATCGGAGAGAAAGCATCAGTTCTATGTGAAATTTAGTCAGCGTATAGGGCGGACTTGCTGAAAGATGCACGGTGCTTTGCGTCACGAGTGTCGCTTCAATTAGATAACGCGCGCGGGCGGCGTTGCCGCATTGCCCTTCTAGATTTTATAGATGCCCGCCGGTTAGGATTGGTCCACCAATGACATGCAATGACGTCATCGAACCCACTCCGCCTTCCAAGTATCATTCATTGCCTTTAAAAAAGTATCTAATAATTCCATTGATGCTCACCAAGTGTACTGATCTTTTCCAAACCGCCCACTCGACAGAGATAATCGAATCTGCAATAACGAAGTTATTCATGTGAAATTTCTGGACGTTATTCAAATCTGAATTCAATATATTTTCTGCTATAAGGAACTCATACTTCGTTCTTGCATCCCTGGATGGAGTCATATCATGCATCGCGTAATGTTTGACTCTAGTAGGCTCTTGAAAGAGACATATGGTCATTTCCCGTGAAGTTGTGTAAGGGGATACCATTGAGTTCACTACTGTTACTTCCCCCCCATTGGTCCCTCTAGTTTTGCATCTTTTTGGCCGTGATTGTTTCAACGCAAAAGATAGAGAACCGTACCTAAGAGGCCGTGGCGGCAAGGAAGGAATCGCCGACGCGTCGCAGGCTGATGATGCGATGTAAGACGTTACGTGGAACATTCTAATCAATCTGGCGCAAAATCAGCTCAGTACGCGCGCTGCAACTCGCGTCCCGATAATCTCCTTTTAACGCGTCGCGGTATTCAATTTTCCCCAGGAGGATATATCCCCCTCCTCTGATTCAATCCTCTGGGGGGACAAAAAAGGGTTGCGTCATAGGACCTAGCATACCTCTGTGTTTCTACCTGCCAGACAGTTAGAGCAGCGCTACTACCTCCACTGATGAAGCACTCTTACTGTCGCCTAAACCTACACCCTGAAAATGCAGGACGAGTTTTTTGGCAAGCTGCCCACTGTTTGAATTCAGTTCGTTGCGGGACCCACGCCATTTGCCACTACCGTAATTGGTTTTGGCGCATCGTTCCTATTAGGACTGTCCATTTGAATGGTTGACATTGGTTTTTGGAATGAATGCAATGTTGTTGCATTCATTCACGGCCACGATTTTGCCGGACTCCATCAAGCACTACAGATGAGTTGGAGTAACTTCAAAATATTGGGCGATAGAATGGATATGCTTGCGATACCCAACAAGTATAGTGTTGCCGTCGCTCTGGAGTTTCTGAAGGTGTTCAACCTCGCGACGTAACAGCTTGATAGTGCATACATAGTGTATATAGTAAACACTTAAGAACGCCAAATTGAATACATTAGGTTCAACTTTCATCACTGGAGCTACAAGTATGGCTTTGAAACAAGTAACGGCCAATTCTACAGATTTTTGCATAATTCTAACGCATAAGGTTACTTCAACCTCTCAATCACACTATTTAATGACCAGTAGTTATGACATCAATCGAACCGTGCGCTGAAATGGTAAAAACCTAGAATTTACCGCGATATGGACAGGACTGTCTCTTTCGATTTCCGTTCCGCGCGTCGACCATTAGATTTACGACAGATACATCATACGTCATTGAAGTTGCGGTCTCTTTTCTATACTCTAACCGCAAAGGACAACCGCTCATCACCTAGAAAGCACAGGGGGGATCCGCTACCTGGAGGCAGAGCCATCCATGAAGATAAACGTATCATCGCCTGAGCTGCTCAGAACATACTCTGCTACATGTAGATCGCCTTTTCTTCCATGACCTCAACTCGCTGTCATCTCCACCAAACTCCTTTCGTAACTGGTTCGGTTCGCAAGAGCAAAGGATGCTGATTTTTATTGCCATATATTAGTATGACCATTCTAGAATACAATAGATCGGTTGCACCTGATCACATAGGCTTTCTTCATATTCAGCAATTACTTATTAGTACTTCAACATTACAATAATAAGTGCTAATAATGAGAATATCCTAGTTTGTTAAAGCCAATGTATCATTTCAACTCTCGTAAACGTCAATGCTGTACTTTCCCTTCTTACAAGCTTTGCAGCTTCAAATGTACAGTCCTAATAGGAACGATGCGCCAAAACCAATTACGGTAGTGGCAAATGGCGTGGGTCCCGCAACGAACTGAATTCAAACAGTGGGCAGCTTGCCAAAAAACTCGTCCTGCATTTTTTCAGGGTGTAGGTTTAGGCGACAGTCCCTACTACTCCTTGAGATGGTCTGCGACTGCTCTTCACTGTCGCAGGTAAGCTAACACAGTGGTAGCGAGGTTCCTATGAGCAATCGCTTATCTGTCTCTGCGCAGAGGATTGAATCTAGAGTCGCGAATACCCGGGGGAAGATTGAATACCGGCTTGGGTACTGCGAAAACGACGACGGATTTGATCGAAAGAGCAAAAGGGAGGGGTTGTTACCAGCATAACTTCCGCTGACATGGTGACACTCTAACGAACCCTGTCTTCCGTATGAACCTCAAAAAAGTGGTTCGGATTCAATGATCAATTTATTGCCCCCCCCCCGCCAAAAAAAAATCCGTAAACTGACGAATCCAATGTAAACATGACTACACTGACTACTTCCAAAAAGTGTTTAGAAGGTTCACTATTCGTCGCGGATTTGTTCGAAGACATTTTCGTAAATCCAGCGATGTCGGCGAACAAAATCGACACGTCCGTCATCAAATTCATCGTGAACGGACGAAATTTCCTCACATCCGGCACTGATTTGAGAAGGGTGAGCGCTGAAAAGAGCTGAGCAGTCACGGGTGAACGGCTTTATAGGAGGGTATGAGGAACTTACGTTGCTCTTCGTTGTTCCGTGCGCTGTTGAGTTAGCACTGAGTGCGACAGTTCGAGTGCCTGACTTAGCCAGATGGAACGGTCGCATTCCGGCATCTTTCAGAAGTTCATCAGCTACCTTCAAAGGGTAACTTGAGGCTGAATAAGGGTGAGAGCAAAATATGTGTCCCATGACCCTAATATGGAAGTGGATCTAAAGCTTCAAAGACCACATCACTTGAAAATGAACACTTCACAAAATTTGATAACCTTCTGTCGTATTACGGACTACACGCACTAGGAGGCAGCTCATAAATTAAGGTTGAGTGGTTAGAGTGGCAGAGAACGAAAAAAAATGAGAAAAATGGCCAAAATCGAGAATGGCACGCTTTCTTGCCGCTTTGAATCCGCTTGATTCGACCTCTCACGTTCTGCCTCTTCATCGCTGAACTGGCTCCTCTCTGGGCAAACGCTAGAAACAAGGTGAAGAGTACACCTATCAGTGAGCTGCGAGAGACGCGGGTTCTGTCATTACCACTTCTGCTACTTGCTCTATCATACGACATTTTGTTTTTGGCACGACAGCCATTATCGGCCAGAACTTTTCTTTCACTAATTTACACAATTATTAGAGAGAAATAGTTGTATATAAAAATTAATTCGATGTTATTTATACTTTGTGAACCTATGACATTCTTGAAGAAAGAACAAAAATTAGCGTGTTCAAATGTACTTATACCGACATAAGTGGTTTGTGGAAAAAATGAAATTTCGGCGGGTACGCAAGCTATGAGTAATTTCTTCCAGGGAAAGTTATCGAGAGATTTTTTTCAGTGGAAATATCGGAAATTCCATTGGAAATTCTGCACCACCCCTCACCTCAAGTAAGACGGTCAATTGAAAGGGTAATAGCCATCTTTTATCACAGTCAGTAGGCTATTTGCCATCGATCCCGGCTGTGCTAACGAGATTGCGAGAGGCATATAAAAGGGGCAATCACCTCGACATTCCCTCATGAACTGCTGTGCACACGATGAGTGCAGAGTACTCCCCTTGGAGAGCCATAACCATATTTACGATGAAGTAGCAGGGGCTCTTTTCATTGGTGAATCAACGTCAATTAATAGTCTGGAGTTATTTCCTAGAGTCCTCATCCCTGGTCCCGAGAGAGTCGTGTACATTGCGTGCGGGATCCCGTTCTGGACTCTCCCAAGCTTTCACCATCTTCTTTGAGAATCCGTGGTGCATGCGAAAGAAGCTACCGTGATTGATAGTCCATGCATAATAAATCCCATTTGCTCACTCGTGGTCAATTCCCTCCAAGCTTTCCCCTTCCTCATTTCCCATTGCCACATATTCTTGCATCTCGTGCGGCTCAAGCTTCAACAAATCAAAAACTCAGCAGCGAGCGGCTGGTCCAAGAAGAACCGCAAATGCAACCGACCAGTTGTTTTACAGCATGAAGTCTGATATTGATTGGGACTTGAAGGCATATTCCGCGATAGCAGGATGTTGGTAGCTAAATTTAGCCGTGGGCATATAAGAGCCAAGAGGGCCAGCAGAAGGAAGGCAAAACACTTTACATATGACCTGTTAGTTCGCGTGGTTTCTCCCGATGCCTCTCTTGGATCAGCCCTTAAAATGCTCTCCCGTTAGTGCGATAGCTTCCAAAAGGATAGATTTTTCCAAAACGGCTCGTTTTTTTAGTCCGCAGTTGCATTGCGAATGTGTTCACAAAATGTGCTGCCTGTGAACAAACTTTCGCGAGGCGGTGACTATAACCCTCACTCTCGCTTCCCGGGCAGTATGGCGCTAACAGTTACGGGCTACCGGCATCGTTCATCCCAACTCAGCCTAACTTGTAAAATTATTGATTTTGTATGTAACTGAACTATTCAGCTTGTAAAATCTTATTATTGGATCCCAATACTATTTATGTACTTTATTCAAAATTCAATAAATAAATAAATAAATAAACAAAAAAATAAATATATTAATAAATAAACACAAAGTCACGAAACTAGGAATGCGTAGAAATGAACCGTGGGCATTAGGTCAGAATATATACATTCAAACGCTCTGAGTTCCAGCCAGGTACAGCAAGTATGTGACCACGACTTGACCAGAATGCACACGACACAAAATGCCCCTCTATATTGCGATAGCGCCGCCATTACCTTCCAGTGCACATCGTTCACCACATGCGTCTAAAAACTGGACGTGGGTCAGGAGATGTCAATCGCGTCGATCGCCTTGTCGCAAGCGGCGCCGCGCCTTCGACATACGCATCACGACCGGCCGCGTCACTTATATCACCTCGTTTTGGGTTTCCCAGCCTCAGCGCAGCGCCGTGATTAATATGTTCTGACCCATACCCAGTAGCAACCTATGGGTATGGAATTGGTACTCAGTGGTGTGACGAAAGACTTCAGGAGAAACAGGTTCGTCGATGGAAATTGGAAACTTCAATAAATCAACCTAATAGAGAACAAGAACGATGAATTATGACGGCTATGAATCACAAAAAGAAACGAACGAAATCTTTGGTGCGATACGCGTCAGAGATGAGAGAATAGACCATAGAGCTGGGTCAAAATGACTGCAGGTGCGCTTCAATCTGTGGCGCTGCCACTGACTACCGAATAAGCAATAATTAATAAAAAATTCTATGACACCAAACCTTTTTAGGCATCACAGATTGGAATCATGTGATCTTTGAATTGCGTTTCCAGCTCCAAATCCTTCCTAGCCAGCAGCGATTGGCCCACTTTCAAGAATGTTTTCCGTTGTCGCACCTAAAACAAACTCATATCACACTCACATAGCGTTTGCTCCTGCTCTTTTCACAACTATCTAAAACAACACTTAAAGGCAGAGAACACGACGGCTAGAGGGGCGGAGCAATTTTGGTGGCGTCACTGAGCGTGATTGGTGGATGGACGTTGGGAGATGATCTTGACCACACGCTCAGCGTGCTGAAGACCCTGGTCCACCAATGATTTCATCAAAACCGCACCGCCCCCAACCATGGTGACCACAGACCTTAAAGAGCAGATGGCATCTCTACGACCTCATTCAGCCATTTTTCACCTAGAAAAAACACTCAATGGATTTATACCATTTTTTTGCTTTGATATCGTTCATTTTGCGTGCAGAACCTTTTAAGGAATCAGTGACGCTATACATATAGGGGGAGAGGTGGTGTAGCGGCAGCTGGCGCTACATACGACGCGCATAGTCGAAGAATTAGATCCCGGTTTGGATTCCGCTTGGCCCAGCTGGTGCCTCCCGCCTAGAGTCCATTATATGGTACCAATGTCGTCTTGACCATTTATGGACGCAGAACCCAGAATTTGAAATCCCCACGATAGGTCCGAAGGCCCCCAAAGGTGAAACAAGCAGTGAAAACAACGCGGACCTCGGGTGAGGAGAACGACGCGCGATTTGCAGCGTTGGACATGCCCGACGATCTAACATGGCCGTCCTCGCGCCGCTATCGACGCGGCACGCCCACCAACTGTCTAATCCACTCGCCGCAAGTCTATAGCCGTTCCAGCAGATAGGAGGCGTTAGCGTTGAAGAAGGCAGCATCGATGCGAGTCGCATTAATGCGAAAATCTGCGTGCATGAGAGGGATCTCACTTATCGGGTTCTGGGCCGTTTTTCATGTTTTTATGCGCTATCGCAAGATACGGAGGCTCTTCTAGGATTAAGCCTAAGAGGAGGATGGGAGGAGGAGGGAGGTGGATGGTTCACTTCGGAAGAATAAAAATTGCTCACGCACCCTGGTCCTTCCCCTTCTGTCTACGCTTATGGTTAGTCCTGCTTTCAGGGAGAAGAGGCGCATTACGCGGTTTCAAATGCATTCCCACCGTAATGCCCTCGTATCTTGGCTATAGCACATTTTTCTTTCATCCGTACCACATCACTTCCAATAGGCTGTCTTCCAATCGTAACCCAGTCTTTGAACATCGTGCAGCCGCGTAAGTCTTTGCGCAGTAGCCCAATTAGTATCCCAGCGCCACAACAATTTTGAACGAAAGTAAGATTCCTGGCAACAATTTATTTTTTGTGCTTTCTTTAGGGGAAGCAAAGGCTCAGAACTATTTTGGCTGGTGGTACAAGGCCTGCGATAGATGGAAGACACCGACCCCATGTGGCTTTTCCATCATCTATTGAGATAAGGGTACCTATCGATCATTCAAAGGTGTTTTTAAAGCAGCAAGTGTTTGGCTAGTCCTGATCGCAATTCAAGCGTTGCTGTGGTTAATTTGGTGCCCCTGAAAATGCCGCGCCTCATGTGGGCGAGCCAGGGTCAAAGCTCGGTCTAGGCGGGCTGGTCCAGCGGGACTCTACATAGTCTGTAATCTTGAGGGGGAAAGGATTTCCGTCATGATTGACACGGCACAAGGCGAAAGTGGTCGATGAAGGTAGTTGAACTCCTGGAAAATGAAGATGTTATAGTTGAGAGAGGGAAGAACGAGGGGTTATTTTATACCTTTTTTGATTCGTCCAAAAAGACCATGAAAAAAGCGTGACATAAACAAAATTGATGGATTCGTGCGTTCCGCTGGGAATGCATAATCTCTCCCCCCCTATCTTACCCTACTTAACGACCACTTTCGAGGAAACGTGGGGTAGGCTGAAGCGGGTCGACTGGTCTAGCCATCAAATGGCAATAGATACAGCCAGGTGATAAGTGGTGACTGTCGGATCTTGGGGTCGTAGCTCGTGGTCGATCCCTCAACCCTCCATGTGGTGGTAGGAGGTGTGTCTCAAAGACCCCCGGCGCTGTAGTGGGGTGGGAATGGAGAGGGGTTTAAAAAAAATTTCAATTGCCCGAAGGTCACGTTGACCCTGGTGGGACGAGCTCAGCCGATAGGGATTCCCAACATGCTGGAATGGCCGAGACCTGGCTCATTCTCAGGAAGAACATCAGGATTCTCGAATGTTTCTCTGCTCTTCACGTAAGCGAAATTCGCCAACTTTGAAGGCTTTGATGCTTCGATGGTCATGGTCACGTTTTTCTACTCCAAACGGAAATCGTCGTTTGAGGATCACTGGCGGGCCTTAGGAGTCACTAAGGCAGAATCAGTAAAGATTCTTGAAAATAACATTTTTTCGGCCAACAGACCAAACTGCCAGGTTGCAAAGCACGCAATCAAATAAAAAAGCGAAAAATTGTGATTTGAGAGAAATTTGGTCGATCTTGCCATTGTCAGATCCTTTTTGGCCTCGCCAACTAGTCCCTTTCTAGGATGAGCCACGCGAGCGGCTTCGACCCAAAATTGCTGGTGCCTTTGAATGTGGTTTGGTCTTCGCGGTGAATTATTGGGCCGGCCTATGTATAAACCACCATTTTTATCCCTCCATGTGAGTTTGGCAGCATTTTTCTTATCGATTAGGGTTAAAAAGTTTGGTTGACCCGACCGGGTTTTGATCCGGGACCTAAGCCGGGATTGTGCGCGTGCAAAGCGGTGCCGTTAGCTACCACATTGCTTCCGCCCCGAGGGCTGGTTTCAAATGGAAAATAATTAAAAGCAATCATAAAGGCAAAAATTGTTCAGCCTTCAAATTACCCTGGGGGAAAATCCAATTTCGACGCGTTCATGGTCGTTCGTCGGCTAATTTAATAAGTTCGAGCTATTTGAGTAGCAGAATAATTAGTGTACATAGCTGATTGGAATCAGCTTATCCAGGATAAGACAGGGGTGGATGCATTCTCGAAATGAAAGTATGGAAAAGCCTACTTAGAGCTGATTCAATCAGTATGAGAGCACTGCAAGTTATCAGTGATATGCCTATCTTTAGCACAGATGAATGTACACATTAATCAGAGATCATAAGAGATCTTCCAGGGACGAGTATGCAAATCTAATCGCATTTCGGTCCACGGACAAGGTGATAAAACTTTCGGCGAAAAGAAGTCTTTCTCAGAGTGCGCCATGAATTCAACTTTCATTCAGAGTCGCAGTGGCGATTGATTATCTCACCGCTCGCAGGACCCATTGCTACTGGGTCGAGTGTCAAATAGCCCCCTTCCGAATGTCAATAGCTATATTCATAAGCAAGGTAGCTTTTTTTAAACAATTTCCCAGTATCAGAAAAAGTTCTTATTCGAAATGTCACTTGAAACATTTATGGACAGACTTCATTACCTAAACAGGACCGAATTGCCGGGAACCGGCTTTCAACATGCACTTCCCGATAATTGCCAGTTGGGCTTAAAATAGCGCTAGTTTCGAGATAATGAAGAACAAATGCTGAGACAATGAATGGGGGGGGGGGTAATGAGGAGCAGACGACCGAAAGCTAGAAGCGCAAAACTTCGAGCAGCAGGATCAATTCAAGGAAGGGTTCCTCATATCTGGGCCCAACAAGATACTTTATGAGGGCGTTCACTTCAAAATACGTAGTTCCGAGCCCAAATTGATATTGAAATCCTAAATGACCCCCTTGCTTTGTTTAAGAATACGACCCAAAAAGGTCCCATTGTTTATTCAGTGAGATCAATTATTTTAGCACGTCAAGTAAATAAAAATAAAGATATTCCTCCAAAGGTCTAGGGCAAGAATAGACAAAAGTCAGCTATTTGAGAATTACTTTATCGTGCTATCCTGGATCAATCTTACCCCTCCACAAAAGTTTCCTTTCCCGAGGATAATTGCTTTTCAGGGCACCTGAGTCCCCGAGCACAAACAAAAAGGTTAACGAGGGTCTCGAGTTCAATGAGACGGAGAGCTGCTGGCAATGGCAGTTGATGGATCGGAAGCGTTTTCAGCTGTTCCAGCGAAATTTCGACGACATGAACGAAAGATAACCACTGGAAGTGATGAGCGAAGGAGACGCGAGACGGCAAAAGTCAAAAAAGGCGAACGAGACCAAAAATAGAATTCCCTTTTGGGAACTGGAATTAATGGGCAAGTTACGGTAGAAAGTGCAACTTTGCGACCAGGAAAAACCCACCCATCGATGGGGGAAATGTTAGGGACAGACAGAGAGAGTGCAACCGCGAGAGCAAAGTGCGACACAACAAACCTGAGTGAGAATGAATAGATGGACGCCAAGCAGGTGGACTCCAATATGCAGTACCACCTGAATGTGCGACAAGTCTCCATAGGCGATACGATTCCTTGACAACATCTCGAACAGGCACGAATATACCAAACCGATCAGAATGCATAAATACAGTGGTAGCGGGATTACGGTATAGATCAACAGCACCACCTAAACGAAATCTTCCATTAAAAATGAATTTAAAATAGCATAGACCCTCTATCATTTTTAAGATTTTCACATTCTCGAGGATTTATCGCCCGGAATACTGTTATTTATTTAGTCTAGATCTACATAGAAGCACACCCCCCCCCCCCCTGCGAACGGCAGACGGGACGCTTATTTTTGTTTTCCATTACCCCAAAAGTTTAAGTAAGTATAAAACTTTGCCTAGTCAAAAGTGATTATATTTTCGCCATGAATATGTCATTTCCGCATGGTAGAGAAACAAAATTATGAAAAAATAAACTTTAGCATGGCTGAGAGGATCAACATTTTCAGCGTTGGTCTACTCTCGACTCTATGGGATGCGCCGTGCGCTTTGCTTTCACCCAAAATCGTAGTGATGTATGAATGCCGCATCGACTACAAAATGACTTGTGGAAGACAACGAGTGTACAAATCCGTATTTTTACCCTTCCAAACAAGTCTTGCACCAATATCACCAGAGAAACGGGGGCTACTCTACTTATGGTCAAAGGAGGACGATGTGAGATTTGAACCACACGATCATTCTCATTTGGTACCTTCCACTACACCACATCTACCCAATTCACATGGTAAACTGGACAAAAATATATATTTTTATTATTGATCTCAAGAGATTATTTCTTCATTAAACATTATATTATTATTGAGCGTTATTGAATAAAGGTTTTTTACGTGTATCCGCACAAAAAACACGATGTGAAATCCAGTGGAAAGCACTCGATGCCCAGCCACTATAGTTCATTTTTCCACCAGACAAAAAAGGGGTGAGAGAAATTATCATGGTATTGCCTCCGTCTTAACGTATTTTTTGATAAATCAAATACCAAGTATAAAAGAAGTATTCTAAATAGAACAGCTTGTCAAAGTTCGGATGAAGCAATCTTAGGCAGTGTTCGTACGAGGTAAGCAAACCAGCCCTTTTGGCGTTTCGGCTGGGACCGTATGCTGAATGTTGGGGAGGGGATGGGGTCCCCAACGGTCGACGGTTTACTTCAACTCGGTTGTACGATAGGAGAGTACTGACGCAAGTGGTGCAGCTGGTCCAGCAGCTCCGCCAGAAGGGCTGGTTTGCTCACCCCAGGACTAAGCCTTGGAGAGGGGACGGACCCGTCCTCTCTTTAAGGCTTAGTTCTGAGGTAAGCACCAAATTGTGGCGGTTCTAAGGACCGAGTTGAAGTGGTCCGTCCACCGTCGGGGACTCCATCCCCTCCCCAACATTCAGCATACGGTCCCAGCCGAAGCGCCAAAAGGGCTGGTTTGCTTACGTCGTGTTCGTACTCTGTTCTGTTTATAACGTGACAAAGAAAAACACTGATCAAAAATAGCATTTAATTATTGAATTTGGAAAGGTCATAGGAAATTGTTTAGTAATTCACTTTTCTGGAAAAATATCTCGAAAACAACCAACGATCAAAGCATTTTACTTCATCTTTTGAAACCATTCGCATCAAAGTGTGCTTTTATAATTTCCTCAATAGCTTAATAAAACTAAGAGTTGACGATAAAAAGCCGCTCAATTAGTGAGTGGGTAAAGGTCATAGGAAATTGCTTTGAAATTCTCTTTCCTGAAAAGCCGCTTTCTAAATGGCACTCTTCCCGAGCACAGAGCATGTGAACTAGTTTGAGAGCAATTTATTCGCTCTTCTGCGACAATTCACATCTAAATGACCGTCTAAGAAACTCCCAAATCCGCTTTAGAACAAAGTACATGGAGAAAGTTTGGTGAAGGGATGTGGCAAAATTTTGAACTAAATTAGTACTTGAAAATCTCACAAAGATACTCAAGGGTTATGACAAAATTTTCGCACCAGGCGGAACTCGAACCCGCACCTCTGCGGCCAAAAACTGCTGCTGACAATCAAGAACAATTTTTGATTCACTGCTATTTTGGAAGCTAAGCTCTGATTGAGCATGCTGCAGAAGGCAGCTCGGAACCCGAAATGCGGAAATCGGAACGCGGGGTTCCGTTCATCCCCGCGACACACAACAAACACTATCCCCCTTGAATGGTTACTGTCTATGAACGACCTTGCGCCTTCCCCCTTGGGCGATCCAATTTCCTCAAAAATAAACAGCCATGGAAACATAATAGAAAACGCTCGGCTTACTTATTTCGAGTTCCCCCGTGTGCAAAAATGAAATTCATTTATCTCCGTGTCTCTCCATTCCCATAGGGCAATAATTCCAGCCAGCCATGATATCGATCCCTGTGTCCGTGACTAACCCAATAAAGCCTACACTCTATTTTACCCTGAATAGAGTCTCTTACACAGAAAAATCTCTCGTGCACAGAATGTTCACGTATTTCTGCAAAGCGCGCTCATTAACTCGCGCTACCTCATACCTATTCTTTTCCCCCGATGTGACCCCTTTTCCGGGGTTCTTTCTTCAATTGCGTCACCCGTTCACAGCAAGTAAGCAAGCAAGCAAGGAATGTGGGTGTGATGTTTTGAAAACGAAAGGTGCTGCTCAATCTATCGCAGCAGCAGCAGCAGCCGTTCAGTGCTCTCTGGACGCACCAAATGACTCGCAACCCATCGATTTTCTTGCAACGAACTTAATACGAACCACCCTCGAGAATGCACCCCGCTTCGGCCAGACCTTTCCTTATGGGCCGTGCCGAGCCACTAGTCGGCGGAAACGGGGGTGGGCACCGAGTTTGTCATAGTGAATTCGCAAAACTACCTGGAAACTGGTGGCGAGGCTCGCAACAGGCGTCATAAACGCCGACTTGGAATCGGACGAGAATATCAGGAGAGTGACTAGACAGATGAGAAAAGTACAGAGAAACGATGTCGGCATGTAGAATCGTTGATACTGAGATGAACAGAGCGTAAACGAGAGCATCGCCAGACATACCATGATCAAAGCGGCAGCTGTGAGCTGAAAAGAACAATATGGCTTTCTTCAATTCCTAGTAGACACTTTCTGGGGGCTTTTTAGAAGGCTAGTACTAAAAGTCGCCTCTTTTTCGCCAGCTGGTTCCTAAAACTCAACCATCAAATTCGTACCCAATGCTGAAAGCCCGCTTTGTCGAAAATGGCCAGATAAATTGTCCACGCAACGCAGACAAACGAGATGTACACAAGGCCAGAGCGGAAACGATCCCTAGAATTCGAGAATTCGAGAAAATTGGAAATACCGAAGAATTTCCAGAAATAGCGCCAATGGAAGAGAGCTGAGCAAAATTAAGCGCAAAATAAACAACGAACCTGAGTTGTGGAAACGAGCATTTCCAATACTGTGCTTCGAGCGATGGCGATCGAAACTGTGGATTCCACCAACGAGCCGATGCCCGTTCAAAAAGTGGCACCCGTCTTGGCGAGGAGGAATGGGCCCGTACGGCTGGCCCACCGGAGCCGCCAAGGGCCGGCGTCCGCTCGCCCGGGTCCTCCTCCATCCGACTGCCGGCCGTTGGCTATACGTTGTCGTTGTCGTCGTCACACTCAACCCTCCGATCTCCTGCACACCCTCATCGTTGCCTTGACGCACTCTCGTCCAGCGCTACTCTCGAGTCCCGTGCCTCACCCTCGTCCTCTTCACATCATGCCCGCACTCCTCAGTCTGCTGCCTCTTTTACTCCAACGAACTAGCCAGTGCGGCTTACCCTTCTCGCCACTCCCTCGTTTGTCATCCCATTTCACCTCATTTCTCGTCCCTCTCTAACCAGTTCAGCGTCCTCTCCATCCTCCATCACTCCATAGGCATCCGCCTCTCACTATACACCAAGGCCACCGCCTCTGTTTATTCTAATTGTCTGTGCTCTCCCCCCATCACGCTTCCCTCTTTTTTCTCTTTTTCTTGCGCCCTCAACGCACTTAGCCGCACTCAGCACCTGCCAGTGGACCTCGACGGGCTCCAGTTCCTTCGCACTCTCTCACACATCGTAATCACTTCCTCTCTCCCCTCGAGAGCAACGAAACGCATTTCCGATGAGCAACTAACTTTGGCAAGCGTCCAGCGGCCACTCTCGGACCACTAAACCTTCGTGATTGCTGGTGTCGTCGATCCTCTTGAGCCTTAAATGAAAAACGACTCCTTCTAAGACACTGAAGCATGTCTAATCCAGTTCCTGTTAATTTCACCATAGTTCTTATTTCTCTTAACTAGGTAGTTATAGATAGCGATTAAGTCTTTCGGCACCAATTAGAACCTTTTCGGGATGCGCTATGCACCCCATTTCTACCGAGAATCGTAGGGGCATTTGAATGCGATTTGGGCTTTTCAGTGACTAGAAGGGCTAGCCGAGGAGCAATTAAGCGTTTTTTTTCGTCCTAGACAAGTCCACTTGCCAATTATCGACGCCAAAGGGTTGGAAAGCTTGGTTGGTTTGGTTTATGCGAAATCCAACCCGGGATTTGATCTCCGAACTGTGCACGCTCCAAATGGCGCCGCTTGCCACTGCACTATCTCTGCTTTTGTTTCCGAAATGGGAAAGATTTTTTCTACACTTTAACAACAGCCTGATTGAGCTCAAATCTGCCAGCTGATAAAGATCGAAAATTGCTTCGAGAAGACGATCAATAAGCAAAATAATTTGGCCCCAACCTATTTTTGGCAGAATTTTCCACGTTAATTTGGCGAATCAGCGGCGAAACTCTATGAAAGAAAACTCTCACGGAAATTCACATAAACGATTTATGATTCATGATTTAATATAGAGAAACTTGGAAGGAAAAAATGAACCTGAAACCGGTTTGAAATCGTCGAAATGGAAAGTGTAGATGGGTTTCGGTTGCCGAAAATAGTCGCCAAAATCGAAGGTTCTTTGACGCTGAAATCGATACTGGGGATAGTTTTCTACACTCCATTGATTCGAGTCCCATGGCAGGTGTCACGAGATGGCCGGCCTCGTTTCCAAATAGCGCTTATTTTTAAGCCGGAACTGTTTTGAAGTCGGGTTTTAGTTGTGAAGAAGGTGCTAAAAATAGACTCTAGGGACAGACGGCATAACGATTAGGCTAATGATCGCCTTCCCCGAAGCGATCTTTGCCCTGTACGGTCCGACCGAAGGCAGATCGACGAATTCCGAGAAAACTGCTAAATCGGCCTCTGTTTTTCAGAGCCTACGCCCTCTAATTGTATTTGGATTAAGCCCTGGATCACCGAAAACAACGCGGCAAAATCCCTTTGAGCGCTAGAATAAATAGGGAAAGCTATAAAATATTGGGATAACCTCTCAAAACGGCCACTCCCACCCGGCCATTTGCCCTTTTTTAGTAGTCCTGGAGAGGAAAACAGTGGAAACAATGGAGAACCAATTGGTCATCACGGCTCTCCTCTCTTTAATGGACGAGTTGTACCGGCGAGGAGTTTAGTTCGAGAGGTGAAATTTGGCAGCTTATTGGCGGATACGGTCAGATTCCTCAACGAGGCTACTGTAGAATCGGAAAAGCAGTACGGAGATTTCGGTAACAATGCCGTCGAATCAATTGCCTCTCATTGAGCACTACGACCAAAACACTGGAAAACACCTCAAGCTGAAGGCACATTCTCCAGTTAATCAAGGAATAGAATTCTGTCAGGAGGGAATCGAATCCACCTCCTCAGAAAATCAAAGGAAAGGGGTATTATACGGTAGTAAGTGTGGGAAGGTTCATCCGTCGACTATATATTGCTTCCATCCCAAGTGGCTTCTCTGCATTCCAGGAAACCACCCATTTTTGGTGGAAAGGAAGCCAACTGCCCTCAAGGTTTTTTTTTGAATTGTATGCTCCCTCCCCTGCTCAATAGATGGTTTACAGGGCATAAAGCATCAAATCCCAAGTCACGCGATCATAGAGTGCCGTTCCTTATCAAGAACTTTTCAACAATGTGCGCCGCTGGACGCAATTTTGCACAATGCGTGCAATATCGCGTCGATGCTTGGCGTATTGCCAAGCGTTCTAGATCGGTCCGGCATCGTTGCTCACAAATACTTTACATAATGAATCAATACTTGTGGTGCTTTGGTATGTATATGTGTGTCACTTTTGCTCCCTCATCTTTACCCCCTCCTATGATAGCCTCCTCATTCATAAGAGGTAGGACAGTGTCAGGGAATTAAGTGCTCATTCGTCATTCAACTAAACTCCGATTCTCTGCTTTCTTCTCTTCTGTAGGACGCCAGTTAGCTTCACCTTTTTCGCAAAACTTTTCTCAAGCCTCATGACAAGCTGCTGATTTCTCATAAGCCTGAGGTCTGCTGTTCCAGCGCTTGTGTTGGCAGTAGGATTTAGGAAGATCTCCTCACAAAGCAAACTGATATAGTTTTGGAAAACAGATCTAGCTACCTTTTTTATTAATCGTCAAAGCGATGTTGCTGCGTTTGATATAGTCGGCGGACCAGATGCTTTAATTAATGGATATCACAGTTGAATCCGTGCTGTTGAGCTTGAAGCAGCCGGTTCGATGACATCCCATCCAAAATAAAGGGGCGTTGCTTTCACAGTTCTCACATCAAATTTACCAACGTCCCTTAAAATCGGAAATGCTTGTATGCTTCATTTTTACTAATGATCGCTCTTTTTGTATGCTATTACTTATTTTGAACTTATGTGCGAAGAAACTATTACTGAAGCGAGAACTATTTTTTACTAATTCTCAAGTGTAGCTCAGACGTTCTAGCAAAGTTGTCGGTCATTTAAACGTGGGCGCTGAACCTCATATTACCTCCTCTTTCTTGCCGGATGCTTCCCTAACATTTTAACCAGACCTCTGTTTCTAAGCATGCTTATAGTGAAAATAGGTCCACAGAACTTGTAATTCTCACCTGTTCACCTCGGACCTAATTCAAGTGGGATATTGTGAGTATCTGGATGCCATCTGACGTAATTTACGTTCTAGGGTTATAACGGCTTTTTGCACTGCTTACATATCAACATTAACCCTTTCGGCCCTGGCGGTGGCAATTGCCACCACCAAATTCAAACGCTTGCATTTCCGCTGAAACAGCATAGTTTTTCTAATTCTGCTAGAGTTTGCTTCAGTCAACCTTCCCCTTCCTAATTATGAGCTTAACCGGCCATTTCATTGTTTATTGCTGTTAGTATTGCAAGTATTTGTGTACAAGTGCAACAGTGAATGGGCGCTGACCCCCGCAACCGGCCAAGTAAGTGTGACTTTGTCTTTAAAATACTTGAAGTGGATCCATTCCTAAATCAAAATTATGCGTTATAATATTATGCAAGATTATAAACTTTTTCGGCACAACTATGAAACTTCGAATTGTTTCGACATAAGCTTAAAAACTAAGAAGGTTGGCCAATTTTCAAAGCTTCTTCAGTTTCTTTGTTTGTGATCGAATAGCTTCCAAATTTCGCCATAATGATACCTATATGCTCACAAGTAATAAACAATAGCTAGAAGAAAAATTTCTCCACGGGGAAAAATTCAGGTCCGAAAGGGTTAAGCATAATATAGTGACGTGACCAACTTTTCTTGATAGATGAGTTTTCCTTGTATTTCGGTCTTGCGATTTCTATCGACTCTAATTTGCCTTTATTCTTTTGCTCTTCATTCAGATTAGATTTTATGGATTACATTGAACGACAAGCGGAGGAATCTGACGGAGAGGAGTCATCCTCAGGATCTTCGGAGCATGATCAGCCAAAAGCTAAGAAAAGGAAAATTCAAAAAGAGAAAAAGAAGAGTAAACGTGTCGTTGAAAGCGAGTAAGTTGCATTATGCTATACTCTGATTGGTGTGTGAAAACAGATCCAGTTCAGAAGTCTTGGCTCTTTATCGATGTAAATGAGAAAGTGTAATGATTTAGTGACGAAGACGATGAGGAAGAAGATGACGAGGAAGGGTGCAGAAGAAATGAAAGGTTTCATCGCTGATGAAGAAGAAGAGGATGTAATACCCAGATTTTATTCTTACAATAATAACTCCTTCCTCCTTTGGTCACGGAAGTTTTTTTTTTCGTTCGCGATCCGTTTAGCGGGTTGATTGAGACATCTTTTGGTCGCTCTGGATCAACCTTTTTTTGAAATGCTTTTATTTTTATTCATTTTTCTATCCCTTGTTGATTTTTTTATATCTGGAATTTTAGGACGTTGATGACGATAAATCTGAAAAATCTGAGAAGTTAGAAGACGAAGAAGACGAATTGGACGATGACGATATTGATCTTATCCAGGTATGACTTCTTTACTTTATCGCCCATTTTCTTTATGACGACGAATACTTTAGGAGAATCTCGGGAACAGGAAGGAGAAGAAACAACGCATCATTCAACCTGATGACTCCGATGAGGACGTCGATGATCGCACTGCTATACAAAAGAAGCTATTTGGAGAGGTTTGTAATCTATGCGCAGCAATTTTGAATTTGACGCTTGACATTCGTCGAAGATAAGCTGCCTCAATTTCATTTAAAGTGCATTCAATTCAGTTCTGTGCTCGTCACTAATTCCGTCCCTATTTCCAATTTGTTTTTTAGAATTTCCACCCGTTGCAGGGAGATGACGGTGAGGGCCCGTCAAGTCCTCGGGATGAACGCAGCGATGCGGGTTCCGAAAGGGATCGTTATTCGGATTCTGAGCAGAGTGGTCAGTCCTTGATCTATTTCATGGTTTTTGATGATAATGAAAAAGGTTCCTGTTAGTAATAGTGTTGATGCTATCACCGTTTATGATAACTGAACTACCTGGATTGGTACCATAATCTGTGATGCATCTTCTGCATAGGAAATCTACTAAGTGTAGGTTAAAAGGTCTCAACACAAACTTTCGCACTCCTCGGAAAATGTTATGTCTTTCAATTAGAAACTCGCAGCGATGACATCATTGAATGTATTTTGCTGTTTCTTCGGAAGCGAGTTGAAGCCTCGCTTGAAGAACTCATAGAACTTCCATATGCCCGAATTGCCTGCTGAAATTTCTCATTTTTGAGACCATTCTGATTTATATATTAACCGTGTTAAGTAGGACATCTTCCGTGAGCAGCTAAATTTTGCGTACAGTACTCTCCTGTAGCTATCATACGTATTTTTTGTACCTGCTTAGCAGTGCTCTAAAATTGTGTCTCTGAGGAAAGCAGAAGGCAGAGTTCTCGAAAAAGAGCCCTATCATGATGTTTTCTGCTTCGTACCCATTCTGTTCAACCTACTTCGATCCA